CTGCTTTTACAATTAACTAAATGATACTATGTATGCTTTTATCTGTTTAGTTAATAATTGAAATTAGTTTTGTATTTTTAATTTAGGGACGTTTTTGAAATCACCAAGTTTTGGCTACTGCTCAAGTCAGCGGATGGCTGAATTTAACCAACTTGCTTTTGTTTTCAAATTTGTGACCCCTTATTATGTTCTGATTTTTGTGACGTTCCTATTCCGAGTCCACCTGCAGGGCTGTGGGATTGTCTGTATTATGTAAAAGCCAGTCTCCGGGGGAGTGGGTTGAAAACATTGTGTGTCATCTGGTAGCCTTTGTAAACAAATGGGTATAGCTGGCTCCCTGTCTAATAGATGGTTTTATCGGTCTAAACAATAGAGATGTTTCTGAGAAACTCTAGCATAATTTGATCAAGTCTTGATGCTGTGATTTGATCAGTTTCTTCCCCAGATGCTCTGGGTTTGGGTAGTGGCAACTCATATTTCATTCTCCTTGTAAATTGATCTTTGAATAGCGAGTTAAAATGAAAGGGGAAGCAATATACATATGTAGCCTGAAATATATGCGTACATACATACACGCATGCACACACACATATATGTATGCACACATATGTACATATGTATACAGGGATGGAGATCTAAACCAAATTTTTTAACTGAGGGTTTTGATGCCTTGCTGAGCTCACTGGAGTTAAAACCTTCACTGACACACTCTTAAAATTGTTAATCTCTTCAGAAATTAGAAGGGACTTAATTTTTTTACAGTCTCAATAAAACATCCAAGTAATTGCATCATTCATTCATGTAGAGCCAATTCCCAACAGCGGGGTATACTACAGTATGAGTAACTGATGTGAACAAATGTACCTTGTTGCTTCTCGTCAGGGTGGCCACCATAGCCAAGGGTCCTGGCTAGGGGGTTCAAGTTAGTTCTTGTTGGTCACATCCTTCTTCTCTGTTTGGGAAAGGGTTTCTCCTCCTCTCCTCTGTCTCAACCCAGACTGAGAGGCACCCAGTACTGGAGGCCCCAGGTTCCCCAAGAAGCCTGTGGCAGCTTCTCAAACAGATTTGATTTAGAGTCCTCTGCGGGCGCTGTGAAAACGGCAGGTCTGAGTTTCCTGAGTTTGACTGAAATCTTTGCAGCTCCGGGAATTATAATGGGAAAATTATCTAAAAGCCATTAATTAATTGAACAGACAAGCTAGAGCAGAAAAGGTGCTGTACTGCGTGTCTGGTGCTGAAAACCCAGGATGGACAGAAATGAACTCTGGGTTTAGGAGGTTTATGTTCGGGTGGGAGTGTGATGGGAAAGACGGCTGCATAGAAAGAGTGTAATGTTTCATATGGGCTTCGGAGACAATGTGAGGGACAGGTTTGCTAGGTGGAGGTGGGCGTCTGAAGCAGCTGTGTTGCCTGCACCCATCATGCAGATGTGGCAGAGGTCAGCACATAAGGGGGACTGCGAGCAGGGTTTCATGCCTGTGTGAGGAATGAGACGTGACATACACGGGGCTCAAGTGGTAAAGAACATGGGACGGTTGAGACTCAAAGACACGATTTAAAGACTGGAACTGAGTATCCTATCGGTGAGAGGGGAACAAACAAATCATCTCCAAGGCGGAATGCTACAGATAAAAAGTAATTCTAAAAGCTTTTAGGGAAAAAAAAGTAAAAGGGTTTAGAAGCCGGAGTAACGTCCACCTGTCCATAGCTGCCCTCGCAATGAAGAAGGGGCTAAAAAGACGACTCAGGGGTTCAGAACATGTGTTGTTCTTTCCGGGGACCTGGGTTCCATTCCCAGCATCCTCATGGAAGCTGATGACTGTAGCGAATCCCAGAGGATCTAATGCTTTCTTCAAACACTGCAGACACCAGGCATGTACGTGGTGCACATACATACATGCAAGCATAACACTTATACACATATAATAAAGAGATAAGTCTTGGAGAAAAACAAATTCAGTGAGAGTACTGCAGAGATAGCTCATTGATTAAGAGTCCTTGGTACTCTGCAGAGGACCCGGGTTCAGTTCCTGGCACCCACCTGGTGGCTTACAAGCATCTGTGTGACCCCATTTCCGGAAGATCTGATGACCCCTTTAGTTTCTGTGCACCCCAGACATACATACAGGCAAAATATTTGCACTCATAAAATGAGTGGATAAGTTAATTTTAAAAAATGTGAAAAAAATAAAATATACTTTCACAACTACATAAAGGATAATACTCTTCCTAGAACAGCAGACAGGTTGCTAGTGGAGACTCAAAAACCCCATTCTGTGCCCTCTACTCAAAGAGTCAATGAGAGACGAATGTCGTCAAGGTGCAGAAGTAAACCAAGAAAGAGAAACTGAAGCTCCAAGGGCAAGGTTTTCCCTCAGAGGGTGAAGGAGAAGGAAGGTCTTTGAATAGCACAGGAGAAGAAATCCCAGTTACAGTCTGACCTGGGAAGCAGCCATTCCAGCCAGACTGAATCAAGATGAGGTGTTAAGAAAGAATGTCTCTATCAAAACCAGCATCTCCCTTCCTCCAGGATAACAGAGATTTGGTGTTTTTTGTTGTTTGTTTTTTGTTGTCGTTGTTGTTTTGTTTTACTTCATTGAGAGTTTTGCAGTCCTGGGAGAATTTGATGGGTTGGCTAAGTTTGTCAGTAGCATGAAAAGCTCAACAAACGATAGAAGAAAACACAGGGCAACTAGTAACTCCAGAAGAAACAAAAGTTATCTAAGTAAGATATAATCGCCGCATGACGGTGCTGGGAACAATATTGACTTTGCGAGACTACTACAAACTGTGAATATTGACTTAGCCAAATGTTGGGGTTGTGAACAGAGGGTTTAGAACACCCTAGCGCCTGAGCCTGTGGAGGCTGAGGATGATGTGTAAGAGCTGAATCCCTTGCAGGGAATTGTTGTAACAAGATCTGAAATGGGAAACGTTAAGAAGCGACGGTGTTTAATCACGTCCCCCAGAAATGTGGTAAAGAAGAGCAAATCCTCAAAGGAGCCGGCGTGAGTGGCTTTCTCAGCGGTGAGAGTTAAGTGGGGGACAGGGAGGCAGTGGGTTTGCATTATCTGATAAGCTTTGCAGGCCTATTTAAATTCCTATACCTGATAAATTGATTATAAAAACATAGACCTATCCTCTGCTGCCCCGCGGAGAGCTAGCATAGCGTTTGACATTTATTATAAAAGCTTTTTGCTTTGCACACACTCTCTGCGTTGGTCGGGCATATTCTCCTACATTTTCTATAGACCTTCTTTTCTGCAGTTAACTATGGATTGTAGGGAGTCTGTATGAAATATCGCTAAATTAAATGTGTCAGTAGACTGCGCCTGCGATCCCCACAGCCGTCCCCCTCCTTTGTTTTTGTGGCCGCTCTGTCTTCTAAACAGTGGAAGGCTCTAAACATTGAGGATAAACAAATCGCTTCATTTTTCTTTCTTGCCTTCTCCCTAACGTGGAGCAGACTTGGACTTGGTATAAGGAATCAGCATTCTTCAGTGAGCCGATGCTCCTAAAATGGGATGGCTAAGCCAGCTGCACACTGAACTCTCTTAGCCGCCTGCGTGCGTCTCTTGGCAAAGCGCTGAATTGTACATGGAGACACTGGCTTTCTAGTGCTGCAGACTGCTTCCTTCTACCTTTTATTTTGGAAGGAAAAAAAAAAATTCAGGCTTCATAGAAAATGGCCAGGGTAGTAAAAGGCCCGTGCAGCCTTCTGATTTGCTCTTAATTCTGTCACGTTTCTTTCTCCCTCTTACACGCCTGTGTTCCCCTTCCCTCGTGTGCTTTGGGGGATGGTGTCAGAATGCTCTGAAGGAAAGGTGCAGGCGTCATGTTTCAGTATGTCTCAATGTTTATAGATAGAAGATACATGCAGAGTGGCCGCACATTGCATTTTATCATAGATGCCTTTACGTTCTTATATAGCTGTTTTCTTTTCATTTGTTAAAAGTCGTTCATGATGGTGACCGTTGGGAGCATAAGCCAATTGTTTTATGGGTCCTCAAATATAGGTCCACCTTTCACTCCATGATTATAATATTCTGGTTTACAGTCCCAGGAAGGGCGCGCATGCAGATTCTTTCATCTACCACCTGCAGCTTTTTATGCCTGCTCAGAAGCTTATGCCATCATCTGTGTGTCTAGGGTTTTGCTTTTCCTGCTAATTTATGGTTTGGCATAGAGGATTAGGAATGGACACACACCTGGGCAAGAGTAAGAGCCCTTCAGTCACAGCGCATCTCACTGAAGTAGTCTCCGGGAGGAGTCATGGGTTCCTCTGGAAACAAGCATTATATATATATATATATATATATATATATATATATATATATATATATATATATATATATATTTAACATCTTTGGCAGTATTCTTTGGGTAACTTAATATATTGTAAACAGAGACAACGTCTCAGAAAATAGGTTCTGCTATGGTGTGCAGCCTAGTGAGACCCGTTTGGCAGCACTTGGCCACCTTTTCTTTCACTCTTCGGTGAAATCTTGTTTGGAGTCTAAACACTGAATGCCTGTTTACTCTGCAGCGTTTTTGGCTGTGCTGGCGCTAGGATGTGCACCGGCTTAGGCTGGGTACTTTTCCCGTGAAGTAAGGGCAACACGGAGAGACGGCATGCCGCACATGCCAGACGAGCTATGCTAGCTTACTGTTGAAAGAAAGCATGGTTTCTGTGTGTCAGGCCTTCCTGGTAGGAGACCTGGTGACACAGAAGCCTTTAGGCAGAGCTCCTCGGGATGTGTAGGAAGCGCTGTGACAGGTTTTGCGGCGGAGGAATCTGAGCCGGTCCCAAGCCTGGACAAGCCGTTGTTGAATTTTGCGCCGGCTGCCAGGGTGAGCGCTTTCATTTCGATGTGTTCGTCTCGCTTTTCTTTCTGAAGTCATCCTGCTCTTTCTGGAAGTTTCACAGGACTCGGTATAAATATCGGCAGCAGGACTCTGACTTGTTTGTGATCCAGCGTGTCTCTCCTTTCTCTCTCCAGACTGTGAGGACGCTTACTACTGTCATTATGAGATGTCGTCTCTCGGCGCCTCCTTTGTGCAAATTAAATTCGACGACTTGCAGTTTTTCGAAAACTGCGGTGGAGGAAGTTTTGGGAGTGTTTATCGAGCCAAATGGATATCACAGGACAAGGAGGTGGCTGTAAAGAAGTTACTCAAGATAGAGAAAGAGGTAAGATCTTCTGCTACCAGAGGCGTCGCAGCAGCTTGGATGTCATAGGCCCCAGGGGTCACGGAGCTGCAAGGGATCTGGCAGGTCCTTTGGGACCGCTCCAAGAGGCTCTTTCCCAATTTCCATTTTGGGAACCTCATAAATAGAAAATATTGTAGTGTGTGCTTTAGGGTTGAGTTCTACTAGGGGTCATCTGAAGCTAGAGGATTTCATTCCATGGTATAAAAGAGCCCCGTGCTCTCTGTGTTGGCTGGCCTACAGAAACAGGCACGTTTGAGCGGTTCACTTCTCCGGGGCAGCCAAGAGGGGGCAGCACAGAGTAACAGGTAACATTTACATTGGTTACTATTTTTACCCCTCGCGTTGGGGGTGGTCCCTAGTTGTTGTCTTAAAAAAAAATAAGAGTATTATTTTTCTACTGAATTAATCAATACTGGCTTCTTAGGTTTCACTTCTACTGGCTCACAGTGGTGAGTCTTTGCGAAGTAAAGAATTAGGCACTTGGCAGAGTTGCCTTTCTTTGTAAAATTAGAATAAGGTCTTGTCTTTTAGAGTCTGGAACTTGTGTTCGATGTGGGTGAGCCCTGAACTCTTGGGGTCTTCATCTTTCATAGGGATGTGGCGTGGATGTGTTTGGTACCACAGGAATTAAATAACTTGTGTAAGTGACCCATGGGTGTTAAGCATGGTAGCTTTCTCTTTCAAGTTCTTTTTAAAAATTTAACTGATCCTTTTAACTGATCCTACAAACACACAAAAAAAATTTATGAGCCTGCCATGTTATGAGGTTTCAACATGTGCATGCGTTGTATGTTGAAGTCATTGTATCCATTGCCTTGTGTAACATCTCTTCTTCAGTGTAAACATCCAAATGTCTTCCCTCTGGCTTTTTGAGATACACAGTGTATTACCATTGTCTGTCGTTGCCATGCTGGTAGCTTCTAATATTTACCCTTTGGTGCTTATTTTGGCCATTTTTTTAATGTACAGTTTTTGCTAAGTATTGTTCTTTTCAAGCAAGCTTTTCCATAAATATGCGTTCTCCCCCAGTGAGTATCTTAGTGTTGTCGTTGACTGCCACCAGTGAACCATCATGACTGATTCGCGATGTCCGTCCAGTGTTAGCGTCGCAGGTTCCCCCAGCTGTGGCTGGAGCTCCTCAGTCCACTCGCGTGCTCAGTGCTGAAGCCGGGACAGTAACACTGAGGTGGCTGGGACTGTCTGTAGGTTTCACATGAAGTAGAGCGGTGCTAAGTAAAGATCAGTTCTTGCATTAGAACCGTTTCTGGTACTGGACTCTTGGAGCTGGTACGTTTGCCTTATTGTCCCCATTTTATAGATTGGGAAGCGGAGCATTGAGAAGTGTAATAGTCACTCCAGTAGGAGCAGGTGGATTTCAGGAGGCCAGGCTTCCTGTCCGTTAGGATTTCACTCTGACCAGGTAAGAACACAAAAGAGGCCAGTCCTATCCATTTACATAAGGATGTTTACGTGGTAGGTTGGGACTTGGATACAACGAACTTCTTGTATGGTTATTGGATGAGGCAGGATGCGGGTTTTGAAAGGAGGTTGTAGCCCATTCTCTTCCTACCTCTCTTGCCTGTATACATACATCGTCCCGTTTTTACAGTGTGAGAGGCCAAGGAAACGACACAGGAAAGCGCAGAACGAAAGCGAGCGTAGGACGCTGCCAAATCCTGCTTTGCTATGGCAAGAGCATAACTCATGAACGTGTGAGGGGGAAAAGCAGAAACTCCAGTTCCGCTTAGGGGCCTGTAGTCGTCAGAGATGGTCATTATTTGGCTCCCGACAAGGCACCCCGCACAGCTAAACTCACAGGAAGGAGTTCTACGTGGAAGTCTGCTGGGGCACCCGCAGCTACTGGAGGGGAAGCGTGCGTCCCCATGGACTCGTATTTCACAAGACGTGTGGTGGCTACTGGCTAAGCGCTTTTTAAGTGATAAAGGTGATGAGCTCCAGCTTCCCTCCCTCCCCCGACACCATGTCTGTACTCTCAATCCACTCCTGGGTCGTTACTTTTCCAATGAGTTGTAGAAGGAACAGACCGCTTAATACAGCTCCTGTAACTCACTTCACAGGACTCTGAGAATTACCTGACATTTGACAAATGTGTGTTCTATGAACGTAGTCAAATGTGAAGAATGTACATGATACATGACAATGTTTTTTTCAAGTTTCTCTGTGTAACAGCTCTGGCTGTCCTGGAACTCGCTTTGCTTACCATGCTGGCCTTAAACTCACAGAGATCCACCTGCCTCTGGCTCCCAAGTGCTGGGATTAAATATGTGTGCCGCCACCACCTGGACAATTATTTATTTACTTATTTTATGTGTATTGGGTTTTTTTTTTTTTTAACTTTTGCTGCCATGTAGGTGCTGTAGAACCTGGGTCCTTTGGAAGAGCAGCCAGTGCTCTTTACCACTGAGCCATCTGTCCAGCCCAGGCCAAATTCTTTTTTATTTTTTGGTTTTTTGAGACAGGGTTTCTCTGTAGCTTTGGAGCCTGTCCTGGAACTCCCTTTGTAGACCAGGCTGGCCTCGAACTCACAGAGATCCGCCTGTCTCTGCCCCCCGAGTGCTGGGATTAAAGGCGTGCGCCACCACCGCCCGGCTGCAGGCCAAATTCTTAAATTCGGCTTGTGTGACTATTGGCTTTTCCTTCATTTGTGACCTCTAGTGTAGTTAGGTACGGTACTTCCCTCTCTTTTAGAAAGTAAGCCGGGCAATGGTGGCGCAAGCCTTTAATCCCAGCACTCGGGAGGCAGAGGCAGGCGGATCTCTGTGAGTTCGAGGCCAGCCTGGTCTACAGAGCTAGTTCCAGGACAGGCTCCAAAGCCACAGAGAAACCCTGTCTCGAAAAACCAAAAAAAAAAAAAAAAAGTACATGTTACCTTTCTGCTGAAAATAGCAAAATTTACATGTACTTAAAATGTCTTTAGAAACCATTTAAAGCAAACACTAAGAAAAATTGCAAGACTGCCATGACCTCTATAATACCACTTAAAGCCTACCACTTAACAACATTTTGCAACATCTGCCTTTTCTCTTTATTTATGCTATTGACTTATATGCAGTTATAATTATTTTATTTTTGCTGGCTATGAGAATAAGTTACAGATGCGATATGTGTTTATTCAAAGTATTTCAGCATCTCCTAAAAATCCAGGAAATTGAATGATCATATTACTTTATTGGATAGTCTGCCTTCAGATTTTGCCTTTTGTCCCAAGAGACTTTTATGGGAACTTTTTCCAAGCCAGGATGCACTCCAGGACGACAGATGGCATCTAGCTGATGTGTCTGTTTAGTCTGTTTTATTTGGGAACAGTTTCCCTGCCTTTCTTTGCCTTTTAAGACTTGGGCAGTTTTGCAAAGCAGAGAACACTTGTTTCGCAGACTACCCTTGTTTTGGACTTAACGATTTCCCCTTCGTTTGGCTTATGTGGCTGTGGTGGGAATGTCATAGGGGTTGTGTGTCCTTGGTGGTCCTTGGTGCAGTTTCATGGGTATTGCTTGGCTTAGTTTTTCTGATGCTACTTTTGAGCTCGTAGTTATGAGTTCACTCAGTTCCTCTGCAGTGAAAATACCTATTTCTCTTTTGTGATTAGCTATTGGGAGCTACTTTGAGGCTATGTAAATGTTCTTCAGCCTTGCATCCCTTGATGATTCTGTCTTAGGTAGAACATTACCGTGTTAGTGCATTGTGCCGAGAGCAAGAGCCTTTCTTCCCTGCTCCTCCTTCTGTCCTCCCTTTACATATTGGCCACTTGGTTTATTTGTTTATAGACAATTTTACACTCCAATTACAATCCATTACAGTTATGCACTTTTGTATTTAAATTAAACCCAGCATGTAAGGGCTTCTTCAGGCTGGCTTCTGTGTCTTTTGACATGCCCTGTTGATTTTTGGCCCTCTCTTTACTTACTGACACAGAAAGGTACCCCATTCTCACTTAGCTCCTGTCCCACTGCTGGGGCGAAGTCCTGAGTCAGCACCCCGACTTGGATTTAGGAAACAAACTGGGAAGTACTAGCGGTACCTATTTTAGATATTTTTTTGAAAAAGAGCCTTTGTTTCTTAGTAGAAATGAGAGTGAGAGGTTTTATTTATGAGAGTGTTTAAGGCTCAGAGGCCCCTGGGTCGACAGGTTCTGTGATGTGCTTGCTATTCCAGAGGAGGGCTTAGAAAAAGGGAGCACGCGAAAGCAGGCCTCAAAATGGTTCCCTCCCGAGTCAGAAATTGTACTTCCGGGACTTTATTCTAAGTCCGTCAGGGATGCGGAGAATAGGGATTCGTGTCAGGTGGGTGATGGCGAAGACTTGGAGGCTACACAGTGCTGCCTGTACGGTGACATCATATGCCATTCGGAAAATGCTGAGTATATTGGGGGTGAGGTGGGGAAGACAGTTTATAAAACGGGCATATACTCGGTGTCTGTGGGCCGCTTTTATTTTCCTTGAATGTCTGTGGTTTTCTATGATTTCATGTTTTCCTTCAATATTTTATTATGAAAAATTTCAAACATAAAGTGACTATCACAGTGACCATCCCTATACACAATGTATAGAATATATAATTAACACAAATATTTCATCACCTGTATGGCCAACTCTCTACCCTCTTACTCATCCCTCTGTCTGATGCATTTCACCCCGGCAGCCAGCATCCCTTAAATACGTCGTCGTGTTTATTACTGGTCCAGCTCAGGCGTAGCTGCGGTTTGATTTTCCTGTGTGTCATGAGGTTTTTAGAGATGTGGATTGACCGGGACATAGATTTGCGTTTCTAACTGGGAAAAATGCATTTTAAAAAGTGCGGTTTTGACAGTCTGTAGCAGCGCCTTGGGAATGGTGGGTGGACGGAGCTCCACACGACACTCATTGTCCAGGCTCACGTTCTCTGAGATGTGGGATATTTCATTTCACATTCCTGCCCCATACATAGCAGCCCCCAGAGCTCAGGACCCAGCTGTCTACGTT